ACAGTGGTGTCTGTATGTATGTATAGTGGGATATGTGTGTACGGTGGGGTGCGTATGTACTCCAACGTGCTGTGTACTATTGTTTCGTAGTGAATTGCTACGTTACAGTATATTACCACTTTTTCTGCTGGGCTATGAGTTATAGCTTTCGCTACCGAAACCAAAGATGTATGTATGCACATCAAAAAACTTTTTAATAAACAACGCTTTTATAAATGGACTAAAAAATTAGAAAACAATATTTCTCAATCAATCAGCGCAATCTTGTATGCTATCGGTCTTGTGACATGACCACATACCATACATACATGACCATACTACCAGACAAAAGGAAAAATAATGAAATTCTACTTCTAAATATTTCATGATTAAGAGTTTAAATGATTTCAGTTTCACAGCTCTGTACTCAAAAAAGGACAATTAAGTGAATTGTAATCCGGCTTCGACGCGAAAAAATCGCACAAGTGTGTGCAGGATTGCGGATTCGAAGTTAACAGCCGAATTCGCAAGGACAGAATCGCGCTAATAGCTCTGACCCAGTACTCCATGAACTTACAGGTTTTTACACGAACTTGCAGGAAGTTACAGGAAAAATGATCCCTGAGTTTTGGAGAGTTGTGTAGGGAATGCAGTTGCAAGATTTTACCCGAACTTTTTCTTCTGGTAAAATCATGAAAAGTGTCAAGCGATCACTGGTTGACGTGCTGCTTGCTCAGAGAGTAATTTTGTTGCTTGACATTTTAACAGGATTTTACCAGAAGAAAAAGTTCGGGTAAAATCTTGCAACTTCATTCCCTACACAACTCTCCAAAACTCTCTCTCATTTAGATGATTTTGGAGGAATTTGGAGTACGGGATCATTTTTCCTGTAACTTCCTGCAAGTTCGTGTAAAAACCTGTAAGTTCATGGAGTACTGGATCAGAGCTAATGTGCGCTTCACTTAATTCAATTTCAAAGTTGTATTTCTTATGTATCGTTGTGAGCTAGAAAAATTTAACTCCACAAAAAAGGTCGACGATTTAAATAAAACTTGTACACTTCAAAGATTTTGTCTCACTTGTATCCAAGGTGTATGTAATAAGGTGGTGTTGGGGCGACATCAGAGTTTTTCGCCGTGGGGGGCATTTGGTCAAAATTTTGTGTTTGTTGTAACTTATACCAATGACAGTATCTGCGTATAATTTGTTAGTGTAATTTTTATACGGCCAACACCACCTTGTTAAATACACATTCCCCGCAAACATATTCTGAGCGCTCAGAATATATGTATGAGTCCGAAAGGAGCCCTAGGTAGGTAAGAAATATGAGTTTCAAAAACAAACAAAAATTGTATTCCGATATGAATCTTTTAGGATTCATATATGATCCAAGTTATGAGCCAGCACCTTGTGCCAATATAAAAACAATAAATATTTGAAATTTATATCTAAACTTGTTTATACAGAAATTGAAAATAATTAGAAAACGAAAAATGAACAAAATTTAGCTACAGCTGCTGCTATTGAATGCATGTTGGAATTTATATATGCACGTACAGTATCGGTCATATCTATAGCACGCCATTTCAAAGTGATATAGTGTGCCACTTATACTTATTTATTTATTTTTTAGAATTTTCAATTAAAATACAGTTATTTCTCTAACAAACCCCATATAAACCCAAGTTTAACAATTTGTAGAAAACTTCCAAAAATGGCAACAAATGTTCACCTAAGTTTCAAACTTTTTTCTCGGAAGTGTTCGAATTTTTTTTGAGTACACAGTTTTTTAGCCACTGCAATTTTAGTCTGATAATGTGCTGTGGCTACGAATTACCGTTAATTTTTTAGAATCTTTTTTGTCGCATTGGCTTTCATATAATGAATAAACTCAATTTATTTGTATATGGATGAAAACCGCAACACCTTTGGCGGAAAAAATTCTAAAAAATCGCCGGTAACTTTCAGTCACTTGAAACTTGCACATTGTCAGACTATAATTGATTGGGCTATAAAACTGTGTATTCAGAAAAATTCAAACACTGCCGAGAATAAAGTTCGAAATTTAGGTGAAAATTTGTTGCGCTTTTTTGAAGCTTTTTTGTTGCTGTTTTATGAACACTGCAAGCAAGGCAGCCAGTGCCACTCGAACTACCCGCAAAACACGAAAGTTAACAAATAACACACTGGAAAGATTTAGTGATGTGTGTCATGACCAGGGAACGGATTTTATGGAAATTGCCTTTTTTTCTGCTAAAGAGATAGAGTATATTCGATTAAGAATGTCCACGATTTAGCTTTCCTTGATTCCATATATACACATTTGATGTTGCCTTTTTTGCCTTTTTTAAGATACTTGCCTTTTTTAAGATATTTGCCTTTTTTGCCTTTTCTACCTCTAAAAAAGTGATTATGGCATTTACAATATTTTTTAGAGATAAAAAATATACACATGCCCATGCGACTTATAGAAGCGCAGGGACCTCTTGCCAAGTTGGTGTGGAAAAATTCAAAGCAGCTTTCTCAGCTAACGTAGGCTTGGAGACAATAAGGGGTGTGGATAAAATTGTAAAGGGCGAGGAAAACGCCTGATATTCCTGATAATATGAACGTTTCAAACGTTCCATATTTAAATTGGGCTCCACTTGTATCAACTTACGTCGAGCGCACATTTAGTACATTCAAGGCTTTTCTTCGCGAAAATCAAATGAAAATGCTGCCAGAAAACGTCAAAATGCATCTTGTGGTTTAATGTTACTACAACTATACAGATTAAAGTTTTATGAGTTAGAAACTCGAAAGGATAAAATAGTCAAAGATTCAAAGTACAAATTTTTCATATAATGAAACTAATTCATAATTTTTCTCTTTTTACTTGTAATATACACATTTCTAAAATAAATGTATTTTTTGATTGTTATTTTGCTTTTTTTGCAATACCTAGTGCCTTTTCCTGCCTTTTTCGCTATTTTTTTTGCCTCTTTTGCAATACCTAGAGCCTTTTCCCTCCTTTTTCGCTATTTTATTTTACCTTTTCCAGCCTATTTCGTTATTTTATATTGCCTTTTTTATAGGTTTTTAGGTCCTAAAAATCCGTTCCCTGGTCATGACATATAATTTTCACAATATTTACTTATAGTAAAATTATACAATGTTTTTAACAATTACAGTGCCGAAAATTAAAAAACCAAAATAAAGAAGCGTGTTGTGCTTAAATAATGACTTTTCGTTATTAAATGTCACAACCGATCATAAACAAATTTACAAAATACATCGATTTTTCGCTTTGCTTGATGCACATCTCCGACTTACTTAAGTTCCAGGCAAAAGTTGACAGCAAACGCTAACGATAGACTTTGACATTTTGCATAAGCAAATTTCTTAAGCAACATATTTAAAAAAAATGGCTCATAAAATCGAAAGCGAATTTTATTTTAAATTAATATATGCTGTTCGCGATCGCCCGTGTTTATATGCGAAAAAACACCTACATTATTACAACAGAGTTAAACGTAATGAAGCCTGGCAAGAAGTGGGCGCAGCTACGGGCAGGCCAGGTAAAATACATATAATTGAAGTGAGAATCGTTATAGCAGTAGTATGTATATAGCCAGTCCAAAGTAATTTGTTCCCGCAGGAAGTGACTGCAAAGCGCGCTGGAAGTTGTTACGAGAAAGATTCTGTAAGCAAATGAAGAGAGCTGATGGTTATTTTTCGTCTGACACAGACCCGTTTAATGCGCATGAATGGGAATACTATAAGGAAATGCTATTTTTAAAGGAATCTATTGTACCGCGACGGTAAGCTTTTGCCTCTTTGCAACTAAAGTTGTGTGTAAATACTTGTACTACTATTATACATATTATACAATTTGCTTGTAGTTCAAGACTTGGTAAGTGCGTACGCTCCAGCTCAGAAGAGCCTGCAATGAATGAAGTATTTATAAACGTAAATGCCATAGCCGAAGAGGACTCCTGCTCGTCACATTCAAGTTATTCAAATTCTTGTGAAATTCTGAACAAAACGTCAAAGTTCGATTTAGCGCCATTGAAAATTGAACGTGCAACGGACGCAGATTTAGGCGATTACGATAAATCAGAAAAACTGCAAAACAAAAGCGTTAGTACTAAAAGCAGTACACCGGTTAGTGGCGACACAGACAATACAATCGAAGAATTATTTGTAAAGAATATAGCGAATTTAATACGAGATCTGCCGATAGAAGTGAAGGATCGTTTCCAGGCTGGCATGTATGCGGAAGTGTTCCGTTTACGTGCACAATATCGCAACTTCTAGAATAAGCTATCTTAAACGCACCTACTTCTTTAAAGGCTGCCTCTCATTTTCAACTCACATTTGCATTCTTAATTAATTTTGTACCTTTGAATTTAGATACTGTTACTTTTGAAGTTTTGTTATGCGAAAACATTTTTAATTTAACTGAATCATGAAACGAATATTGAATTAATTTGTCTTGGTTGTTCCCAATCATGATTCAATAACATATTGATTGAATCATGGTTTCCTGTAACCAAAAACCCACAAGTGTATTTTCATTTACGATGAGTCTTACATTTTGTAGTACATTTGAATTATTATATTTGAAAGTATATTTACCTTATGTAGATCCTCGTGAAGTCCGTGCTGGTATGAATCCAATGGTTATACTAGCTCCAGTTTCTTGCAATTAGATGCCGACATTCACTCGAGGCACAGGCCCTCGTTTAGTCCAGATAATACATATGTTTCAAATAGAATTTTTGAAGTACTGTTAGCAACTCCACCGTTAAGTTTAATAATAAATATATATTTTGAGTCAGTAATAATTATTAATTTTATTAACAAGGAACGACGAGGAACAAATACATGTTGAATTCGGTATTGCACTCTGTACTCGATAGTTTGTTGAAAATTTAACAGTTTTGAGGCACATGTAAACAAAAACCAGGAAGCAGTCAGCTGTGAACGGAAAAGTGCTGTTATTTTTCATGAATCATGGTTATCGATAAGGTGATTAGAAAAACACAATTCGACGAGAAATTATATCATCAATATATAATTAAACAACGACTTACAACTATCACCTGTAAGTAACTAAACTGTTTAAAAACAAAAGAAAACCATTACAGATTAAACCATTACACAATTTCCGTTGGTTAAAACTATTTTGAATAATGACTAAGGGGACTTTTTTGTGCACAGCGCTTCTTATTCCGGCCTTTCCTGTAAGATATACAGCATTGTTACTGTAGCCAAGAGCAGGGATGCCACTTCCGTAAATTGTTACCAAACATGGTTGAAAAAATTTGGGTTGGTAAATATGTAAATTTTTTCTCATTTATTATTTTTTTTGAAAAACAAATAAACCTTTTCGTTTCTGTTTTAGTTTTCGCAGATATCTTTATACTATAAATCTCTTTCCAAAAGTTTAGTCTACTTTCTTATTAAATTTTGAACGCTTTAATAAATCCTTTTTATATACATACATACAAATGTATATCGATGGAAGGCGAACATAACGTCCTCCATTCAAAACTCATTTTACTGGAATTTCTGGGAACTTTTGATTGCCTAAATATTTTAAATCATTTTTTAAATAAAAAGAAAAGTGTAACTAAGCACTATGATTGTTTGCAAATTAAATCAATAATTGGCAATAATTAAATGGAGAAAAAACCAAAAAGACTGAATGCAAACAATAAAAAAAATAAAATAAAATCAAATATTATAGGCTATACAACTTCATACCATAAATTATTCTAAAAATTCAGAGTAAAAAGTTCGAAATATATAAATTTTTTTGAATATTTCTATATGCAGTATTTAGCTTGAATCCTTGATTTTTATAGGTTTGGTTAAAGCGTAAAAATATTCATTTTATTTTCAAATTATTTGGTCTCGAAAATGGCGTATATTTTTAATTTCTTTTCACAAAAATTCTAGATTGTTGAAATCTATTTGCTTGTGAAACCTTTTTCCATATCAAACAAGCAATTGAATAGCAGCTTTTGACACGTTCCAATGTTTGGCAACCCTGGCCAAGAGCAAAAATAACAAAAATACGAAAAAATTTACCAAAAAAAAAAAGTCTTTTCTCCCAACAAGATATAAAGAAGTTGTGAACAATAACGCAGTTGTGAGAGCACCGGCTTCCCACTTTAATTAATTATGACCAAAGCAAGTTATAGAGGAATCAACGAAATGGTGCAAAAGCAAATGGAAATAAATACATCTCACAATAAGCTAGATTCATGCCATGTTCGTCGGAGCTTTGCGGCGGCGCGGGCCGACCGAGCCAACCTTCAATCTTGTGGTAGCTACGGATTCAGTCGAAAGCCTACTGTTGACGAGTTTGTTGGTGCACTTGAAAAGTAGTCAATTACCTTCATCCGATACAAAATTCAAGTCACTTTTATTGATTTAACAATATTCGCGTTTGGGTTTTTGTGTTACAGCAGTCGGGAGTTTGTGCCTTAATGATTTTCTTCAATCGCACCATGGAATACCTGCAAGAGCTTTACACAAAAGTCTCCGGATATGTTTACGGCGATAATAGCTGTGCAAATACGTAAATATACATATTTTATAATACTAGTGTTTCGTAATTAATGTGAAATGATGCTGTTTCCGCTTGTTTGACGTTTTCTAACATCCCCCGCACAACTAGACCACGCAAAGTTGTTGCTTTTGGTAACGTGCTGCTAGATCACACCGCGCAGCTTCAGAATGACGAAACAGATTTATTGGAACGCTTTCAAATACCGGCAGAATCGAAAGGCGAGTTAGATGCAGAAACTTTATCCAAGTTAGCAGCTGAGGCTGCCGAGCGGTAAGTGTGCAATTAGCCAATTGATCAGCTGGTTGTTAATATTGACATATTTTATATTTGCAATTGTTTATATTTTTGAATGTATTGGTGCATAGTGTACAATGTGAAGTGAATCCCGGCGGTTCCGCTTTGAACACAGTGCGTATACTCAAACAACTCGGCACAGATGCGCTTTTCATTGGTGCTGTTGGTGAAGATAAAGCGGCAGAGAAGTTGAAAGAGATTTTACAGGAACGTGGAGTTGAAGTAAGGTGAGAATGTAGGAATTCCCAGTTGGCATACAAAAAGTGTGCGTGACTAAGGGCTATTATGTACTTTCAAATGTATTTACTTACTACGTACATTTGTTCAAACTATATTCACAAATATGTATGTGCATACATACATATGTATATAGATATTTATGTATGCATATATGTATATACTATGCGTCATTAAAAAGGCGCTATCAACCAATTTTGTTCGCGTACATATCGCAAATTGCGTACTTTCCACTAAAAAATATTAACACCATCATTGTTTAGCTACGCACAAATTCTAGTTGCATCTACTGTGCGGGCACGTACAACTAAAATGAGACCCCGAATTTGAATAGTCACGCTCTGCAGCGTGGCGTGTGGTAATTCAAGTCACGCCTCGGTAAATAGGTAAAAATGCCTTACAAAGGGTTCAGATCATGTCTTGCATTTCCGCCATTTGTTCAAAAAGTTTTTGTTTGCCATGACTAAAATTTCATTTACTTGCACATTCCACTGCATTCAAATAACGCTCTGGATAGTAGAGTTTTTTTTGGTAACAGACCCCAATTTTTAATACATTGATGGCATTTTTTTTTTATTACACTTGACCGCCCACTAATGTGAGCCCTTTAAACTACTGCACGTTTCGTAGTGCCATTATCATGTCTTCTTTGTTCCATGCATTGGTAATGGTTTCAAATACCGTTGTACTTCTCAAATTAACTCTGTTGCATGTGTCATTGACTCACGACTTTTTAATCCCTAGCGGATTCTTGTTTCATATTTATGAATACATTTATACGACTGTTCATTACTGTATGTGCACTTTAATATCAAGGTACATGTGAAAATTATCTTAATCTCAGTTGTTTGTTTTACATATGTACATATGTATGTATGTATATACTTATCTGTTCACATTATTTAGGAAAGTATATAAAAAGCAACAAGACGCAAAAATGCTACACCATTTATTCTCTCAGAAAATCCGGGAACGTTTAGTTGATAATAATATTATAAAGAATTGTTTAACTCAGAGTAGTCATAAATTTCAATATACATAAATACTTATACAAATACAAATTCTAGAATGGAAATGCATTAAATTAGATTTGCGCTCATTCTATGTCTTACGTTTACTTAAAGTAATCCCTTGGTTGCAAAAAGTAACGAACTCCAAATTTAAAAGTTTGCTCGTAGAATTTAGGTACATATTTTTAAGTTTATAGAAAAATGCTTGCAAATACACCAATCGTACGTGTCTTAGGCTAAACATTTCATCTGAGCTTTTTAAGAAATATATATATATTAAATATTGTTTAATATTAACATTCCTTTTTCCATTCGTTTGTTGGTGTAGACGCCTTTTCCATTTGTGAAACCGCATAACTTGTATATTTCCACATTTAAATGGTCAGCAAGCGGGATTTAACTTCAAAAAATGAATAGATAACCTACATGGTTGCCACTTTAGTTCCCATTAAAGTCACGATTTTCATATTTATTTAACTAGGCAATTACCGGAAGCGTGAGAATTCGCAAACAATAGCGTTCTTTATATTCGTATATTAGTTTATTGAATTAACTGTATATTATAACGTAAAATATTAACTTAACACATTAAAATTCACCAAACTCTTTCCCAGACTCGCCACGGTCAGTGACGTGCCCACCGGCCAGTGTGTTTGCATTGTCAATAAAGACACCAAGGCAAAAGCGTTATACGCCAATATTGGTGCGTCTGCTAAGCTATCCGTCGATCATCTTAAAAAGGCTGAACGTGATGAGACACAGGTCTTCCTCCGTCCAATCGAACGAAAACAGATACTCTACGTGGAAGGTTTCTTCGTACCGCAACGCCAAGAAGTCTGTGACTTCATTGTTAAGAATTATATCCGAGAGCGGCGCCGTTTAGCAATTAATTTAAACGCTGAGTATATTATAAAAGAAAACTTTAAACACTTGCGCGAGCTCGCGCATGCAGCATATTTCATATTTGGTAATCATAAGGAACATATGGCTTTTGCCAAGCAACTGGGCTTTGAATCGATCGATGATGCAGCCAAACATTTGATGGAGGAATGCAG